CCAACCAGCAGAGAGCCCCGCAGGTCATCGGGGTCATGCAGAGTCAAAACAGCAGTGCAGGCAACCGGGGACCCCGGCCGCTGGAGCAGGTCACCTGTTACAAGGTGAGTCCTGGGGCTGGGGGACAGGGTGGGGGTCTTCACTCTTCTCTCAGGGGTCATGCCCTCATTCCCCAGATGCTGGATTTTGAAATATGAATCAGCTTTGCTTTAAGGTAAAAGGGCTATGAAGGTGGAGGGTGGGAAACCTTCCCACTTCCAACCATGATACACCAGGGCAAGGCACATGATAAAAAGCACACTGAACACGAGTGGATTGCGTTTGCCAGAAAGTGAGGAAATCTTTAGGAGGCTAGAAGCATGGTCTGGGGAACAGAGTGTTCCTTGAGGCCTGGCTGTCCTGGAGCCATCCTCAAGCCCAAGGGTAATAGCCAGCCTGGGCCCATGGGCAGAATTGGGTTCCCACTGCCCCACATGGAGTGGGACACTTGGGAGGGAGGGGTGAGCTGGAAAAGAGCCGCTTGAAAACACATCGGTCTCATTCTTGATCAGCTGAGAAGGGTTTGTGGTGACTAGCTGACCCTTAATAGGAGCTTGGGCCTGTATTCATGCCCTTGTTGAGGACTGGAAGACGACACAGGCTGCAGTTTGTATCCAAAATAGACCTGAGGTAAGAGGGCCCCTGATGCCTGCCAGGAGCCCCCATCAGTGCTCTTTGCAGAATATAGTTGCAACCCAGGCTGCATAAAACTCCCACAGCTGGAGTTCCACAGAATGAGCTCTTGATTAAAAATCAGAATACAAGGAAACAAGCACCAACGCATGAGTAAGCAGAAACAACCAACATTAAATAAATCTCCAGAGACTTCAGAGTTTAGACTCGTTAGGTTTGAAATACTTAGTACACGCTTTTTGTAAAATGGAGCTCTGGTGGTGTAGTGCCTAAGACATTTGACTGCTAACCAGAAGGCTGGCGGTTCAGACCCACCAGCCACTCCTCAGAAGAGCAATCTACTTAGGTAGTGATACTGCCTCGGAAACCCAAGGAGGGTTTGCTATGAGTCAGATCCAACTCGACGGCAGTGAGTTCGGAGTTTTTTTGTAAAAACTTAAGATGATGTAAGTATTTAGGGTGCAAAGTGTCATCCTCCTATTCCCACTTCTAAAACAGCCACTTCAATGAATGTGTTCAGTTCTCAGGCATTTTGGTTGTAGTACAGTTTACACTTGCAGATCCCTAAAAGGGTCCCGCTAAGACAACTGCAGGAGCTCTGGTAGCATAGTGCCTAAGGCACTTGACTGCTAACCAGAAGGCTGGACGTTCAAACCCACAAGCCACTCCGCAGAAGGAAGGTTGGGCAATCCTACTTCCGTAGTGATAACTGCCTCGGAAACCCAAGGAGGGGTCGCTATGAGTCGGGGCCGACTCGACGGCTAACAACAACAACAAGACAACTGCACTTAGAAACTTTAATTCACAGTACAGTCTGTCGTTCTCACTGCCTCAACACTGCTGACTCTGGCGCTTAGATCCACGCGCATCTGTGCTTAGAAGCAGAAGGTCTGAGGCAAAGGGCATATACTGAAAATGTTCATGGAACCTGCCCTTAAGGGAAGCAGAACCCTGAACTGTTCCTCAGGCGGTCCTTGACCCTTTACCCCTGCTCTGTGTGGCACTTCTGAGAAAGACAGCTGCTCTTTGCTGGGAAGGAGGGGTTTGTGGTCTGGGGGAGGAGGAGCAGGTGCCTAGGGTAGGCCTCGCAGGAGTTTCTGAGCCCACAGGAGGTGAGGTGCACTGGCAGGCATGCTCCTTACAGGGAAGACAGCAGGCAGGTGCCAGGGTCGGCTTGTCTCAGACCAGTCCATTCTCGGGTACGATGAGGAAACTGAGGCAGCTTGGTTGCCTTCTTGCCTCCCTCCAGAAGTATCCAGCAGGGCCTCCCCTGTATAGAAGGCTCTCCCAAGTCCTGACATCTCACAGAATTAGGGCTAGGGGTGAGGGGACCACCTTTTCATGCTGTTAAAGATGCCTCGTGGGAATCCTTTTCCCTGGGGTGAGCTGCAGAGGCTGAGGGACATGCCGAATGCTATGATTGGCCCTAGGAGCTCTGGTAGGGTAGTGCCTAAGGCACCTGACTGCTAACCAGAGGTTGCCTTGGAAACCCAAGGAGGGGTGATTATGACTCCGGTTGGACTGGATGGCAAGTAACAAGAACATTATTGGCCTTGGAGTCCCTCTCTGGGGCCACACATCATTGGGACTATTGGCCACTACACAGGTCACTCATCCACCCAGAAGTCACTCCTACAGATCAGACATTTGAGATCTGGAACTGTGGGGTCAAAGGGACAGGACAAGTAGAGCCCTCCATCCTCTCATGCACTCCACATGGAGAAAGCACTTGGAGTGGGAAGGTGACTCCGCCTGGCTCCATGACGCTGCCTTTCACTTCCTTCCTTAAAATTCCCACCTGAGAACCTGGGGAAGGGCCTGCATAATGAGACCTGGACAAAGCAGGCAGTGCTAGAATTTTGAGAGCTGACTGGCCCCACTCAAGTATAGCCATTGTATCGTCACTCCTCTGATCCTGGGATCCAGACTTGTCCCCAGGGGTAGTTTAGGCAGGTGTGCATGATCTAGGAGGGAACACATGGTATAGCCTGCTGCTATAAGCAGCACACAGTGGCTCCCTAGTTTGGGGGAGGAGCCTGGTGCCTCTCTCACCAACGTTGTCCCTCCCTGTCATCCTGCCAGGGAGCCCCGAATGTTGCCATAGAGGTAAGTGACCTCCTGCCCTGCAGCGGGGCTTGGACCCTGGACAGGCCGGGGAGCACCAGTGCCCTGGGCCACGTGCTCCTTTCTGGCATCCAGTAACAAGCCCTTTGGTGGACTGAGCCATCTAGGGCAGGTGTGAGTGGCAGAGCGCCACTCATTCTGAAAGCTCCCAAACGTGCTGTCTGCTGCCCTTCTGGAGGGGGCTTCCCTTGTTGACCTCCACGAGGTGCTGGTTGCCGTGTCTGCCCCACCGAACCTTCCTTTCCCCCTCACGTCTGAAAGAAAATCCCGGCCTTGCTGTCTTGGCACCCCTCACACACCCCTGTTGCTTGATGGGTGCTGCCTGAGTTGTAAATAACATTTGGAAACGGTGTTTGTTTTTGTTTCCTCCCTTTGCTGTTCCCAGTGTGGCGAGAAAGGACACTACGCCAACAGATGCACCAAAGGCCACCTGGCCTTTCTCAGTGGACAGTGACAGCAGTGGGAGCCACCTCAGAGGAGCCTGAGGGGCCTGTTCTTGGGGACAGCTCTTCGGCCATCCTTGGGGACGTGCGTTTAACTGTTCAGTGCCAGTGTTGGCACTGGCAAGACCTGGCAGGCAGGCCCCGCAGAAATATCCTCTGAGGGGCTATGGCTGCTCGTTTCCCTATCATTTTGGTGTAATCTTTATTTTTTTAAAAAACAAAAGAAAGGGACACGGGCTCCATTTGGGTCCCTCAGGCCAGCCTCGTGTTTATCTGGGTGCTGCTGCCGCCTCTCTGGGACTCCCCACCCACCAGCCCTTTGGGGATGGTGGCAGTTGCTGGGGAAGGGCTTCTGATGTGTCCCTATGGAAGGTGGCCATCCCTTCAGGGCCTCATTAAACACCAGTTCCCTGTGACCTGGGAGCTGGTAGATCATTCAAAGCTGTGGCCAGGCCATGCCTGCTTCCTCAGTGACCTGCTGAACTCAGAAGCTGTGCCTGTCAATGTGATTAGGATGAGGTGGCCCAAGGTGGCAATAGCCGACGGGGGACAGGCTGTGGAGTCTGAGCTCTCCGTAAGCTCCCTTTCTCCTGGGACACCTGTAAGACTGTCTTAACCAGATGCCCTAGCCCGTCTACGCCACCTAGCACCCCGTCCAGTGTGTATGGGTGTGTAAAGAAGGCCATCTGCCCCTGGGCCTGGAAAATGTGAAGTTGTCAGCTGCAACTTGCTGGGCCAGTGGGCCTATTCAAGTTCGAGAACAATTTTTATAAGCTTGATTAAAGCTTGTTTTTAAGCCTTGTCTCGTCTGTTAAGGGACTCTGCTGAAGCGCCTTAATGGTGCTGCACTAGCTGCGCAGCACAGAGCTCATGCTGGTGTCTTTGGTTCCCTTTCGTCTTATGAAGGGGATGAGATGCTGCCTTTGTGCTTACAGCCAGACCCTGACCAAGTCTGGGAGCTTGGGCTTTCCAGGAGCTACCAGGTGGGTCTCCTCCCTCATCTCCTGTTCATTTGACTGTGGCACAGCCATCCTCCCCTCTGTGTGCTTTTCCTGCTGACCCATGCTCAACAGGAAACTGGCTCTGGACTTCGTGCCACTTGAACTTAATAGTTCTGACAGAAGGGTAAGGAAGCAGGGGTGTTGACCTGTTAACTTCACCCCACACACACACCTGAGCTTCCTGCAAGTGAAGCTTCCTTACCAGGAGGGCTCCCCTGCATGCAGCCTCAGGGGCAACACTGACCTGAGGGCTCTCTAGACAGTGCTGGGTCACCACCCAAAGCCCCTTGCTATTGCAGAAAGGCCTTATCTTCATGCTTAACGGGTATCTCTGGGCAACTCCACACCTTTCTTGCCTGGGGCCTCATGGCAGCCAGCTGGGGTCTGATGGTGCTAGGACCTCCAGAAGCCTCTAATACTCCCTGTGAAAAGCAGGGTCAGACCTCTGGGCACCCTTGACGGGGAAGCTCTGAATGACACCACTCTCCCCAGCAGCCTCAAGCTGGCTAGACACCTGGGAGCTGGGACAAGATCCCAAAATAGAAGTGAAGGAGACCACTAGGCTTCAAAGCTCTGGGCTGTTTAGAGCCCTAAGTTCAGGGAGATGGCCCAGTTAGACAGCACACATACCTGTCATTGTTTATTGGACACTAGTTGTCAATTAGGGTATGAAAGGACTGTTCCTCAAGGGGGGACGGGTGCCAGGGCAAAAGCAGCCACAGTTAGGAATGCAGACGGTGTCCACTCTACTGGCTTCCTCTCAGTGGTACTTCCGTAACCGCTCATGTTCTGAAAAAAAGATAACAAAGGGTTTTTTTTATATTTATTTATATATGTATATATAGTAAGTATAGGGTGAGGCAGGGTAGCTGCTTATGTCACGTAAAACCATCCTGAGAACTTGGGGTGCGTGACACAGAACCCCTATTGGCAGACCTGTATCCACAGAGGCTAATGTGCCCCCTGGTCAGCGCCTAAGAGCTGGTCCTTTAGAGGCAGTGTGACTCTGGATGCAGACTTGGCAAGGGGGCTGGACACTCAGACAGTTTTGGGAGACCTACTCAGAGGCCTCCACTGATACTTCCTGGCATCTTCCACCAAACTCAGGTTCAGGGCCAGCTGTGCTCTCCCAGAGCGACACTGGCTTGCACCACTCAGCCTATTTCCATCTTTGCATTGGATGCTAGGGTGATCGAAACCAACATTTCCACCAACTTTTAGCATAGTCTACAGGATGTTAAAGAATACTTGTTAAGTATTGCCTTAACCTTAGTTTCACCTTATTTTATCTTTAGGTGTTTTTTTTTTTTTTTTTTTTTTTCCGCACTTAAAACAATATCCCATAAGGTTTATTGTGCTCTGATCAATCCCTATAATTCTTTCAAGTAGGAGCATAGGTAAAGGACACACTGGTTCTCTCAACTGACAGGTGAATAATGGGTGGCCAAATCTAACTGCAGTGCAGTGAATTACTTAATATGACCCTTCTAGCCACGTTGTTGGTTAGGTGCTAGCAAGTTGGTTGTAATTTAGGAGCCCTGTGTGCAACAGAACAAAACAATGCCTGGTCTTACACCATCCTCACAGTCCTTGCTATGCTTGAGCTCATCATTGTAGCCACTGTGTCCATCCATCTCATCAATGCCCTTCCCCTTTTTCACTGACCCTCTACTTTCCAAAGCATGATATCCTACTCCAGGGACTGTACTTGACCAAAGTGAGACGAAGTCTGGCCATTCTTACTCCTAAGGAACATTCCCGCTGTACTTCTTTCAAGACAGATTTGTGCATTCTTCTGGCAGTCCACAGTATTTTCAGTATTCTTCATGTATACCACGACTCAAATGCATCAGTTCTTCAGTCTTCCTTATTCACCGTCTAGCCTTCATATGCATATGAGGCTACTGTTAATACCAAGCCTTGAGTCAGGTACGCCTTAGTCTTCCAAGCGACATCTTTGGTCTTTAACATTTTAAAAGGTCTTTTGCACATCTGCCCAATATAGTACATCACATGATTTCTTTACTGCTGCTTCCATGGGCATTAATTGTGGATCCAAGGAAAATTAAATCTCTGACGCTTTGAATCTTTTCTTCATTTACCATGTTGCTTATTGGTCCAGATGTGAGTATTTCTGTTTTCTTATGTTGAGGTATAAATCTGTACGTAAGGCTGTAGTCTGATCTTCATCTGTTAAGTACTTCATCTTCACTTTTGGCAAGCATCATCTGCATATCACAGGTTAATGAGTCTTCCTTCGATGCTGATGCTGCGTTCTTCTTACCCAGCCATAGTCCTCCATTGTGTGATGCATTTAAATCCCAGTCTCAGCACCTGTGGTTATGTTCCCATTTTGGAGTGAGTTGCCTGTTACATTAATAAGGCAGGATTAGGGTGGGATGTATCTTGAGACTAGCCTTAGTAGAGGCTGTGACTAAAATCACCACCCTTAGTTTCCCCGAGGGTATACATATGAATGTTCTGGATCCTGTATTTGGTTCGTCATCATCTCACCCCCAGTTCTTGGTACTTGAGACAGCAGCCAGTCTGACCTGCTGATCTGAGTTCCATCGGCCCCTGCAGCATGAGTGGAGAGAGTCTTCCAGACCAACATCTAACACACAGATTTGGGACTTACCAGCCTCCACAACCACATGAGCTATTTCCTTCTCAGGATGTATGTTCTGTGAGATGTTACAGCAAAATACGGAATGCTCAGGTAGGAGGGAGAGTACTGAGGGGAGGAGGAGTAGCTAGGTGTTAGAGATGATGTAGTGGTACAGCAGTCTGGAAAAGCTGGACGTTTGGGGGATCTCTAACCTCCACCTCACAGGAACCAGCCTTGTGCTGATCATCCTAAAAAGACTATTTGAGCACTAACAGTGAACCAATGCTACCCTCTCACGAGCTTTCTACTGAAGGGAGGACAACCCAAAAGGCACTTACTGAGTTCCTTGTAAGACAGGCAGTAGCTGAAAACCACATAGGCTGCCAGGACCATGGAAACCCCAGCAATGCTCCCCTTCCTCACATTAATATACTTGTTATAATACCGGTTGTAACCTGTAAACAGAAGAGATGGTCACTGCCCTGCTTTGGTGCACATGCTTCACACAGTGCAAGGTCATGGTGGGTTCACATTCCGGCCTGTACCAGCTCTAAGCTTACCCAGCCTATACTCACCAGTTGATAAAAGCATAAATGACACCAGATAGTACTTAGGTCTTCACTAGCTCAGGACCATCTCTAAAGCCAGGCCCACCTTCAATCTGCCCCTACCCTTTGACCTTGATCGTGTAGGCCTTTGATCCTGCCTCAGCCTTACCTCCAGTGCTGGGGATGTCCTTACCCTAATTCTGACTGAGGCTCCAGCCCATAGTAAGGGCCACTTGGCTGTGGCCAGCAGGGTTAGCCTAGCCCCCCTGGGAGGAAGGCTTCTGAGCATTCTTTTCTTCCCTGGGCACCTCACCTGGTGCCAACACTGAGCCCACAGTGAAAATACACTCCCTGCCCTCAGAGGCTCACAGCGTGGTGGTGAAGAATGAAATGGTCACAAAAGCTATAGGAAGAGTGAGTGCTGGGAAGGAGCAGGGCAGGGAGTGTGTGCACAGACAGGCACATTCATGTCCACAGAGGAGGACAGAGCTCGAGGGCAGGCCAAAAGGGAGGAGGGAACATGGCATACAAGAGGCTGAAAGACGGCCTGGGTGGCCAGGTGAAGAAAAAACAACAGGCCCTGAAGAGACCAGGACCCCACAGGGCTCTCTGAGGTGCACTGGGTCTATATGTTGAGAATTGACAAGATGGGTTAGCCAGGAAAGGTCTGAACGGTTTTAAAATAACTGCCGACTTGAAAGATAAGCCATTTCAAATATTAATCATGGATATTTTGCCTGGCATGGAAGACAGCATTATACCATAAACTGACGTCCACTACGCTGCATACTCACCTTCCTCTTAAATAAGTGTCAGGAGAGAAAAATGCTCATAGACATTTCTGTAAGAATGAGCCAGCAGTACTGATTCCAAGCAACAGAGAAATTCTCTTGGCTGAAATGTCTTGGAGGCAGCCTCTGACAGGGCCAACAAAACTGGGACACTAACATGCTAACGACTCTCCCTGTCCATCTCCACTGGAAAGAGGCGAGAACTGTCCTTCTCAACATACTTAGGACACAAGACCTTTACTGCCCAAATTAATTCATGGCAAGAAGAGACTGTAAGGACACAGATTTGCTTTTGTTGCGGGGCTTCTATAAGGCTCTGACCTCTCTGAAACACTCCAGTAATGCCTTTCGGGGTGAAGTCTCGCATCAGTATCCAGCTGGGCAGCTCCCCTATTTTGACATCCATCAGTTTCTTCTCCTTCAGTGGTACTGAAAAGGGTGAAAAAACACAGCAGTGAAAAATCTCCCAAGAACTAAAAGAGCATCCTTTAAAGCCACTTATTCCAACTATTCAATAAAGGTGTCACTATGTAGAGGCTGCACATCAATACTGCATATTTCTCCAAATCCACTATTTTAAGCTTAACAGCAGAACTGCTGCAGCTACAGCCTTACTCCTGAACAGGATGTATCTGAATGACAGCCAGTTGGGAATAATTACGTAAACAAAGAAGTTTGTGGCAACCCTGCATCAAGCAAGTCTACTGGCACCATTTTTCCAATAGCAGGTGCTCACTTCGTGTGTGTGTGTGTCACATTTTGGACATTCTCAGGGTATTTCAAACTTCTTCATCATGCTGTTGCACACGTAATAGACTAGAGTATAAGCATAACTTTTATATGCCCTAGGAAACCAAAAAATTCACGTGACTCGCTTTACTGCGCTCTCTGGAACAGAATCCACAGTACCTCTGAGGTAGGCTTATATTTTATAGGAAGAGAGCAGACTCAGAGAGGTGGGCAACTTGGCCAAGGTAACACACATGCAGGCAGTAGAGGCAAGAGTCAGCTCAGGTCTGGCCCCCACAATCCCTAAGCCATGCCCAGGGTGAGCAGATCTGTTCTGGGATGGATGTGGAAGGAGACCAACTGTGATGTTTTCTGAGGTGTCTACTCTGACCGGGTGTGCTTGTTTATCAGTGAAGGGCTTAGAGGAGCATCAGGGTTCATACAGGCGCAAACTCCCTTGACATGAGTAGGAACTTTGACCTCAAGCATCCTAGCTGGAACCACCAAACTCAATGCCATCAGTTGATTCCAACTCACAGCAACCCTTTTAGAACAAAGTACAACTGCCCCATAGGGTTTCCAAGGGTATAAATCTTTATGGAAGCAAACTGCCTCATCTTTCTCCCATCGAGCAGCTGGTGGGTTCGAACCACTGACCTTCTGGTTAGCAGCCAAATGCTTTGACCACAGAGTCAACAATTTCTACAAGCAGAATTAAGACAAAAGATCCCAAGAAATCAAATAACTTAGTATGAAACCAATCTGAATGATCCAGTAGACCCCAGACCATATTCCAATGAGCGTCTGGGACAGAGGACAGATTGGGCTCCTGGCTGAGGCCATATGTACTCCTCTCTGGCCCAAGAGTAAAACACGGATGGAAAAAGGAAATGGGTGGAGCAGCATAGGTCCAGGAGATGCTTCAAGGGAAGAAAGGTCTCCCTTCTGTATTCACCCAAAAGATTAATTTTTAAAAACTTAGTACATGTTCTTTTTAAGGCATAGCATCAAATACCATTGTCCTTTCTTAAAGGTGAGCAGCCACAGCAAGAGGTTCCTTCTCCATATTGGAATCCAAGGAAAAGCTAAGATTCCTTTAGGACCAGCTTCAAGAATCAACCAAGGGGAATTCCATAGGTCTCCTGACACATCTTAACCCTTAACAAGGGTGGGGGTTTCAGGCCTGCTACATAATCAAAAATTCATGGCTTAATTCCACTCTCCTACTGGGCACAAGTGACAGGTGGAGGTATAAATGGATGACTGTTATTCATGGCTTTAGGGATGCATTCGAACCCTTATCTTTCATCCAGCCTCATCCAACAAATATGGAGCACCTACCGTGTGCTCGCTCTCATGGGAGCTCTGGTAGCATAGTGCCTAAGGCACTTGACTGCTAACCAGAAGGCTGGCAGTTCAAACCCACCAGCCACTCCTCGGAAGGAAGGTTGGGCAATCTACTTCCCTAGAGATACCACCTCAGAAACCCGAGGAGGGGTTGCTATGAGTCGAATCAACTCAACAGCAGTGACTTTGGTTTTTTTTGTTTACTGTATGCTTGGCACTAATGGAAAGGTTGTTGGTTTGAACCCACCCAGTGGCTCCACCAGAGAAAGACCTGGCAATCTGCTTCCATAAAGATTACAACCTAGAAAACCCTATGGGGCATTTTTACTGTTACATGGGGTCACTATGAGTGAAAATCGACTCAAGGCACCTAACCCACTGTATGCAGGCAATTGCTAAGTCTTGATAATCTCTTTTCATATGTTATCTTGTCTATGTTGTTGTTGTTGTTGTTTGTCATAGCAATCCCTCCTTGGGTTTCCGAGGCAGTATCACTATGGAAGTAGGATTGCCCAACCTTCCTTCCGAGGAGTAGAGCTGGTGGGTTTGAACTGCCAGCCTTCTGGTGAGCAGTCAAGTGCCTTAGGCACTATGCTACCAGAGCTCCTGTCTAAGTGATGACACAGCCCATTTTACAGATGGGAAAGCTGGCTTCTTTTCTGAAAACTACTTTCTGAGATTAAAAATAGAAACTGGAGTAAGACACGCATAGGTAATCAAAACTGCTTGTGTGACCGCTGGTGGGCCTCACCACATCTGTGGTCATATTTTTCATATTTAAAGTAAGAAACAAGTTCCCAACACTGATTCTCTAACAAGGCTATTGTGAGGCTCAATGGCTAAAACATGATTTCCATGTCAAAATGAAATCAGTGTGCACAGTTCGATGAGTGTAGTGATGTACACATACGTGTCAACGAAAAGCCAACAACACAAATGCCTTGTGAATAAAGACCAGTTAACCGCGAGGCCCCAGACTACTACCTGGGCTCAAATTCTAGCTCAGTCCACTCACCAGCTGTGAACCGTCGAAGGTAACTTCACCTCTTTAAAGCTATTCAGCGCACAGTCAACACATATGCATCGAACAGTACTGGTATGAAGCACGTCTCAAGCGTTAGCCCCTCCAGGAGCTTAATGTGACCTTTCGCTTTGGAAAGACAGAAGCGGCGCGTAGGGTTCAAGTGCAAAGCGCGCGGCGGGGAAGAGAAGCTATTGCGCAGGTGAGAGAAAAGCGGGCCTGAGGCGGCGAGTTCCCAGGGCCGGGGGCGCTCCGCCCGGCTGCCCTCAACCTCCGCACGTCGCGGCCAGGCACTGCAAGACTCCGAGCTACTGGTCGGGCGCACTTCATGGAGGTCGCGAAGAGAGCCCAGAGTGAAAGGCAGGCGGATCACAGCTGCCTCCCTTTTTTCCTCTCCTAGTGCAGCTCGGGGTCCCGCACCCCTGCTCCACCCCCCTACATCGCGGCCCGGACAGAACACTCACCGACGGACGCCATCTTGGAGTCCTGGATGTCCGCTGTGCCGGGCCGCGCAAGGGCTGCTGGGTAGGGAGCCGGCGCACCAAGGCGCGCGGCAGCAGAGCCTCACGGGAAGCAGGTCACCATTGTGCCGAGTGTGGGACTGTAAGAGCGCCATGGAATGAAAGGCGAGGACCTGGGAGGCAAAGCCTTGCGGTGGCTTAGTTAGAGAGGGGGAGTCTCCGCCAGGGCTTCCCTTCCCAGGAAGAAGGAAGGGGGGAGGCAGAAAGAGACCGAAAGAAAACAGGTGAGAGAGAACATCCTGGCTCGCTTACCCTCTCCATTGGGCTTGTTGTGAGAGAAAAGGGGGACGTTGCAAAACCGTTCCCTGTTCTGTGCTGGATGGAAGATAAGCGCCACCTCAGGTAATCCCAGGCCCCAGGTGAAGTGGGTGTCCAAGCCTGGACACTAAATAGGTTTGATTCAAGAGCGCCTCCGTGTGCCCAGACGCTCGGCTGGGCTCTCAGGACATATGGAAACAGGAGCCTGGGGGTACGTAACGCCAGCCCATGTACTTTACCAAACGTAATGTCGTTTTAGGAGTTCTGGTTGCATAGCGCCCAAGGCATGTGACTGCTAACCAGAAGGCTGGCGGTTCAAACCTACCAGCCACTCCTCCGAAGGAAGGTTGGGCAATCTACTTCTGTAGTGATACCACCTTGGAAACCCAAGGAGGGGTCGCTATGAGTTGGATCCAACTCGACGGCAGTGAGTTAATGTCCTTTTATAGAAATTGGTCTTTCCTGGTGTCCTGTCCAAAGGAAGCATCACGTTTGGTAAAATAGGTGGTTACTGAAAATGAGGGAAACCGTCAATAAGATGAATTGACATGCTGGTGGCAACAATGATCTCAAACATACCAACAGGCATGAAGGTGGCACTGGACTGGGTAACATTTCATTCTGTTCCACGTGAGGTCCTCATGAATGGGAGCTGACTTGATGGTAGCTAACAACCATAGTCATTCCCCAAAGCTACACTGCTGTGTCCTCGCCCTGTGGACACAGACGTCAATCAGACATGGGCTCTGTTCTGTAGGACTGCTGGTATTGTGTGGGAGAAAGATGTGTAGACAGGAAAGTACAGGTCTGTGCAAGATGCACAGCAGGGAGTCGTGAACTCCTTAGGAGGGGAGTGGGGAGGCCTGGGAGGGCTTCAGAGAAGTGGTTCCTGTTAAAAAAGGAAACGGCAGTTAGTTGCCAAGTGAACAAGGTGATGAGGGATGCTGGTACTCCAGGTACCAGCAACTATATGTGCACAGGTATGGAGGACCAGACCGTGTGGTGGGTTTGAGTCAAAATGGTGGCAGAGTTAGGAGATGAACATACACAGGCAGGCAAGGGCCAGAACACAAATTGCTGTGAATGCCAGGTGAGGGAAGGGGAGCCAGTGAGGTTTAAGAAACAAAATGACAGGATGAGATTTGCTTATTGGAATGATAACCCTGACTGCTGAGTGGAGAATAGATTGGAAAGTAATACTAGGCGTGTGCAGCCCAGTTATACAGGGGCCGCAGGCCTGCAGGATGTTCATGTGTCCATTTGTTGTTGTTGTTATGTGCCATCAAGTTGGACCCGACTCATAGCGACCCCTCCTTGGGTTTCCAAGGCAGTATCACAACGGAAGTAGATTGCCCCATCTTCATTCGGAGGAGTGGCTGGTGGGTTTGAACCACCAGCCTTCTGGTTAGCAGTCAAGTGCTTTAGGCACTATGCTACCAGAGCTCCCAAATGTGTCCATTTAGTTAAGAAGTATTTAGTTAAGAAGTATTGCGTGTTCCAGGAACTAGAGATAGTGGGAAAAGAAAACAAATAAAAATCCCTGACCTAGTGGAGCATTCATTCCAGAGAGAGAAGCAAACAAGTGCAACACAGAGCATGAGTCCGTCAGGATGTGCTAGGCTGGGCTGCAGTAAAAAGTAACCCAAAATCTCAGGGGCTTTAAAAACAAAAAGGGGGTGATTTTTCACTGACCCAACATGCCCATCCCAAGTAGCCCAGGGGCTCTGCTTACATAGCAGTTCAGGCTGCCAAGCAGCCACCATCTCAAACTGGTCATCATGCCAGAAAGACCTTTCTGGAGACTCTCACCTTCTACTGAGTGCTCTGGCCTTTAAGTGAAGCAGGACTTCTACTTCACACTCATTGGCCAGAAGTGGTCACGTGGCCTCATCCAGGAAGTGCAAAGACATCTTGCAGGAGAAAGGGAAGCGTGAGAGAAGTTTGGGAAATGGAATGGCAATGGCGATCTCCCCAGTATGTCCAAAGGTGATAAATGGAGAAAAATCAAGCTAGGAAGAAAGATAGGGAAGGCTAGAGGAAGACTGGCTGTGATTTGAAATAGAGTGGCCCAAGTAGCTTCCCTGAGGCACATGGAAACGGCCTTGAAAGGGTGCGGAGTGAGCATGTGGGTGTCCAGAGAGGCATGCCCAGAGAGGGGGCATGTTGGCTTACTTGCAGAGGGGACAGAAGCGATGGAGAGCTGTGGGCAGACATATTCAGGGGCAGCTGCTCTTGGCTTGGATCTTGATAATGTTTGGTAGTTGGCAGTAAGAAGGGGACTGATTTGATTTGGCAGAGGGTGGGAGGAAGAGGTCAAGGAGACGCTCAGTTTTCTGGCTTGAGAAAACCATCAGAGAGATGGGAACAACTAGACCAGCACTGTCCGAGGGACCATTCTGTGCCCATGGTTTTAATCTAAATCTGGGGACTGCTCTGATTGAAAAGCCAACAAGCCACATTTGGCTAGTCAGTCCTTGACGGTATTTAATTTTAATTAATTTAAGTGGCCTCATGTGGCTAGTGACTAGCATATGATGTGGCACAGAGTTAGAGACTTAAATAATGGAAGCAAATAGAAGAGGAAGTCTGGGAAAGATCATTATTCCAGCGGAAACGAGGGGACTGCAGAGCAGCATTTGGGAATTGTCACAGGGACAGATGTGGCCCCTTTGAGGCACCAGCAGGTGGCAGAGTTGGTTAGAGAACAAGGCAAATCCAGACCAGCATCAACTCCTGTAAGCAGATACAGCTGTGTCCGCATCTTGGATACTTTTCTGTGCGGCCCCTGCTCACTATATGCCAATCCCTCACCCCCAGACATAATCCCTGTCAGTGAGGGTGTATGCTTCCATTCCCTGCACTTTAGATATGTATCAGAAGCGTTAACTCAAAATGCACTGAATTGTTTTCTGTGTCTTCAGCCAGACACATTTGTGGGCTTATGCTTTCAGTCCCTTTCTGGGGCCTGGCTTTAATGGTCTTCGTAACAGTCATGGCATCATTACCTTTGGTGGAGAAATCCACCAATGTTTTTTCATAAGCAGCAGAAAATAAAATATGTAGAACCATCCAACCAGTAAAACTTGAGGTAACTCTTCTTTGTGGTGATTTCAATTTTTGTGACAACCACAACGTTCAGAGGTATACTTCTGGGATGATTTTTACACGCTTCTTGTTGTTGTTATGTGCCATCGAGTCGGACCTGACTCATACCGACCCCACCAAGGCAGTATCACTACAGAAGTTGGTTGCCCAACCTTCCTTCCGAGGAGTGGCTGGTGAGTTTGTACCACCAGCCTTCTGATTAGTAGTCAAGTGCCTTAGGCACTATGCTACCAGAGCTCCTTTTTACACTCTAGGATTGGAAAATTTTATTTTGTTTGATATGAAAAGGTAGAGAAAGAAGGGCTTTTAAAAAAATGGCCCAGCAGGAAATGCTAGCAGTGAGCAATCTGAAAAGGGAATTAAGAAAACAATTCCATTTACAATAGCATCTAAAAGAATAAAGTACCTAGGAATAAATTTAAACAGGAAGTAAAAGAGTTGTACCCTAAAAACTATAAAACACTGCCAAAAGGAATTAAAGAGGACTTAAATAAATGGAAAGACATCCTATACTCATGGATTGGGAGACTTAATATTGTTAAGATGTTAATGCTCCCGAAAGCAGTCTACAGATTGAATGCATTCCCTGTCAAAATTCCAATAGCCTTTTTTGTAAAAATGTAAAATCCAATCAGCAAATTCATATGGAATTTTAAGGGGCCCTTAGTTGCCAAAACAATCTAGCAAAAGAACAAACTTGGAGTATTCACTTCCAATTGCAAAATACACTATAAGTTTATAGTAGTCAAAACAGTGTAGTATATAGACCAATGGAATAGAATTAAAAGTCCAGAAATACACCCATACATCTCTAGTCAATTGATTTTCAACAAGGGTGCCAAGTCCATTCAATGGGGAGAAGAGCAGTCTCTCCAACAAATGGTGCTAGGATCTCCACATATAAAAGAATGAAGCTGCACTCATACCACAGATCATATGTGAAAATTACCTCAAAATGGATCAGTGATCTAAATACAAGAATTAAAACCACAAATCTCTTAGGAGAAAACAAAGATAAACCTTTGGGACCTAGTTTTTGACAATAGGTTCTTATCTACGGCACCAAAAGCACAAAAAGCAAGACAGGTAAATTTCATCAAAATTAAAAACTTTTGTGCATTAAAGACTTTATCAACCAAGTGAAGGACAGTCTACCGATTTGTAGAAAATATTTGAAAATCATATATCAGATAAGAGTTTTAATACCCAGGATGTATAAAGAACTCCTCTAACTCAATGAGGAAAAGATACAACAACACAATTAGAAAATGGGCAAAGAACCTGAGTAGACATTTCTCCAAAGAAGATACACAAATGCCCAATAAACACATGAAAAGATGCTTGAGATCATTTGTCGTTGTTAGGTGCCCTCAAGTCAGTTCTGACGCTATGTACAACAGAACGAAACACTGCAGTCCTGCGCCATCCACACTCATTAGGTTTTGACCTCATTTTTGAAGGCACCATGTCAATCCATTTCATTAAGAGTTGTCTTCTCTTTTGCTGACCCTCTGCTTTATCACACATGGTGTCCTTTTCCAGGGTCTGGTCCCTCCTGACAAATGTCCAAAGTATGTGAGACAAAGTCTCACCATCCATGCTTCTAAGGAGCGTTTCAGCTGTACTTCTTCCAAGACATATTTGTTTATTCTTCTCACAGAAAAACAAAAGCAAACTCACTGTAGTCAAGTCTGATCCAACTCATAGCGACCCTTCCTTGGGTTTCCCAGGCAGTATCACTATGGAAGTAGATTGCCCAACCTTCCTTCTGAGGAGTGACTGGTGGGTTTGAACTGTCAGCCTTCTGGTTAGCAGTCAAGTGCCTTAGGCACGATGCTATCGGAGCTCCTTCATACCCCCTAGGATGGCCATTATCAGAAAAATGGAAAATAAGAAGTATAGTGAGGATATGGACAAATTGAAACCCTTGTACACTTCTTGTGGGTATGTAAAATGGTTCAGCCACTGTGGAAAACAATTTTGGTAGATCCTCAAAATGTTAAACATGGAAGTAACATACGACCCAGCAATGGCCCTCCCAGGTGTATACCCAAAAGACTTGAAAGCAGAGACTTGAACAGATATTTGTACACCAACGTTTATTGCAGTGGTATTCACTGGCCAAAGGTGAAAACAATTCAAATGTCGACCAACAAATGAATGGATAACCAAAATGTGGTCTGTGTACAATGGACTATTATGCAGCCATAAGGAGAAATGAACTCTGAACACATGCTTTGACACGGGTGAGGGTGAGAACATTATGCTGAGTAAAACAAGTCAGACGCAAAAGATCAAATATTTCATGATCCCAGTTATTTGAAATATCTCGAATAGGCAAATGCATAAGAAAAAGTTTCTGAGTGTTCCCCAGGGAGTGTGGGAGGGGGAATGGGGAGTTGTTGCTTATGGGGTGCAGAGTTTCTGTGTGGGGTGATGAAAACCCTTCGGAAATGGACAGTGCTGAGTGAAGGCATATAGTACAGCCATCTGCGCTGCACACTTAACAGTTAATGGAAAGCATGGGATAGTGTATGTTTAACCGCACTAAAACTAAAACTATGTACATTAGCACATCAAATACATATAAAAAGGAAATGGAACACGATCGAGTGGGTTTTTGAAAGTTAAGGTTTAGCGTAGCGCATCAACGCAATTTACTACATGAATACGATAAAGGAGAAAAATCTCATGATCATCTCAATAGCTTCAAAAAAGTAACAAAATTCAATATTCATTCATGTTTTTTAAAAAATCTCAATAAATTAGGATTACAAGCAGATAAAAGGACTCTACAAAAAGTCTACATGAAAGCATAGTATAAAAAGCATGGAACCTTCATTATAATAAAAATGATAAAAAAAATCACTGTAAGTAGAATTTGATATGGAAAATGAGTCTAATAACCAGCTTGTATAAGGTGATATGAGTGCCTCACAAAGCCCGTTTTCTATTTAGATATGAAATGAAGCAGTTACTGTGCACTGGAGCCGCAGGCAGGAGTTTCCCAGCGACTAGAATTCCTTGCCTTCAAGCTGATTCTGACTCAGAGTGACACTACAGGGCGAAGCAGAGGCATATCTAAGGTATGGCAGGTATGGCCCATGCCCTGGATGCCACCTGAGGGGACCACCAATGAGCAGCTTCCATTCACCATCGCAGTTTCTATCACCAGCTGCAAGAGATTGTTCAGCAAGTTAAGTCACTGCCATGGGTGCAATTTTCTGGAGATACACCTCTCTCTAGAGGACAGAGCAGAACTGCCTGCCCCTTATGGTTTCCAAGGCTGTAACCTTTATGGAAACTGACTGCCAAATCTTTCTCCGACAGAGTGACCGGTGGGTTCAAAGCACTGACCTTTTGGTTAGCAGCCCAGCACCTAGCCAGTCCCCCCAGGGCTTCCCATCTAACCGAACCTTTTACACTGTGGAGTCCCTGCAAAGGATGAATGCACTCCAGTGCTATGAAAAAGCTTGATGGTTCCTGTCTGCCCAGAGGGCCTCAGAAGAAAGGCCTGGCAATCTGCTTCTGAGAAGTCAGCCATTGACAGCCCCAGGGAACACAGTTCTCCTGGGACACAAAGTCTATTCAGCACCAACTGGGGTTCTTTTTTGTTTTGTTTTGTTGTTAATGTATTTCTCTAAGTTTATTTATTTATTCGTTTTGGCAATATTTATTGAGTGCCAACTTGGTACTAGTTTTTAAGCGCTGAGATAGAATAGTGAACGAGATGCACCAGGTGCCTGCCCTCAAGGCAATCACATTCCTGTTAGGGGAGAGGCATCCTATGCAAACAGCCTCTTAAAAAGCGTAAGAATTTGGTGCAGAGTTAAATCTGTGGAGCTAATCTCCCAGGAAGTTGGGACCAGAGTGATGGGCTCTGAACCAGACCGGATGAGAGGAGAGGCTTCCGTTACTTCTTCCTCTCTTTGTCCTTCTTCACGTTGCTGCAAGTCTGGGTCTGCAGTGACTCAGAGGCTGCTCTCATTTTATAAAATTCTATTATTTCTTCATCCAGTTTTCTTCTCTCTTCTTCAAGCTTCAGTGTCTCCTCTTGTTGGACTCTTTTAAGATGCTCAAATTTGTCCTGCAGCTAGGATTCAAACACAGGCAGTCCCCGAGTTATGAACATCTGATTTACATAAAACCTATAGGTATGAACTAACCCCCAGAAAGCCAGTTACATTAAAAATTGAAGGTACATTCAAGAGTTCATAATAACTGGGTGCTTACTTTATGATGCACATCAAAACATTATTGTTACTATATTATTATGTTAAAGATGTTTTAGTATATCTAGAAATGAACCATAGTTAACTGTTACAAATTCAACTTAAAGACAGATTTAGGAATGGAATGTGTCTGTAATTTGGGGCTGCTTTTACGCGATTGTGATTAATGGCACAGCATGGTATCACATTCCTAGGATTATCCTAGTTGTTTTTATCAGTTACCAAGCACACTCACTCGAGGGCGATGGCATATAACAATAACAAAAACAACAAGCACACGCAAGTCATCACAGTAGAGCCTCGTTTTAGCAACCATCTAAAAAATTCATGTGCAATGCAGACACAGAATTTCTTTAGTGATTTAATTTAACTTTTTTGATTCAAAAATGCTTGAATCAAATCAATAAAACCTACAAGGAGGCACAAAACACCATATTAAAAACATCTGGTTTTCCCTGTTGTTGTTGTTGTTATGTGCCATCTAGTCGTCTCTGACTCATAGTGACCCCTCCTTGGGTTTCTGAGGCAGTATCTCTAAGGAAGTAGATTGCCCAGCCTTCCTTCTGGTTAGCAGTCAGGTGCCTTAGGCACTAGCTACCTGAGCTCCTACCCAATTGAATTGTTGTTGTTGTTGTTGTTATGTGCCGTCGAGTCGACCCCGACTCATAGCGACCCCTCCTTGGGTTTCCGAGGCAGTATCACTACGGAAGTAGGATTGCCCAACCTTCCTTCCGAGGAGTGGCTGGTGGGTTTGAACCGCCAGCCTTCTGGTGAGCAGTCAAGTGCCTTAGGCACTATGCTACAATTGAATAGGACACCAAAAGTTGTATGCAAATTACATCAAGCAGAAGGACTTGCCTCCTTTTCAGCTTCTTTAAATGTGGCTTCTTTCTCCTTTATCCGCTGCATAAATCTCTGTTTCAGTTGTTCTTCTTCCCTCTGACACTGCTCGTGGAACTCTTGTCGTTTGGCTTCATAGATCTCTTGAAAACTAAAAAGACATTTTTAATACTGTCATATTAAAATGCTAATAAACCAAACCAAAATCAAACTCGTTACCATAGAATCGATTCTGACTCACAGCACCTCTAGAGGACAGAGTACAACCATCTCCATAGAGTTTCCAAGCTGTCAGTCTTTACGAAAGCTGACTACTTTGTCTTTCTCCCACAGAATGGCTGGTGGGTTCAAACCACCTCATGGGTTCAAAGCACCAACCTTTTGGTTAGCAGCCAAGTGCTGGACCGCTGCACCACCAGGCTCCTTAAAATGCTAATAAGCATGCACAAATACATATCTATCGTATATTAAAAACCATTGCTATCGAGTCGATTTCCACTCATAGGGACCCTCATTGTGTTTCCAAGGCAGTAAATCTTTACGCAAGTAGATTGCCCTGTCTTCCTTCCGGGGAGCAGCTGGTGGGTTTAAACCCTCAACCTTCCGGTTAGCAGTCAAAGCCTTAGGCACTGTACTACCAGAGCTCCTTATAGTGTATATTAGGTCTTATATAAAAACACTTACCAATATTTTCTCATGTGTAGCAACAAAACATACGGAAGTTCTATATCGTAAGATGTAAATAAGGTGCTATATTTAAAATAAGGAGCTCTAGTGGTATAGTGGGTAAGGCATTTGGCTGCTAATCAGCAGGTTGGTGGTTCAAACCCACCAGCTGCTCCATGGGAGGAAGGTGAGGCAATCTACTTCCATAAAGATTTATAGTCTTGGAAAGCCAACGGGAGTCACTATGAGTCAGAATCATCTTGATGGCAGTGGGTTTATATTTAAACTCATAGCATATATGTTGTTGTAGTTAGGTGCTGTTGAGTTGGTTTTGAATCATAGTGGCCCAATGTGACAAAGTAGAACTACCCCATGGGGTTTTCTAGGCTGTAATCTTTACAGAAGCTGATCACAAGGTCTTTTTCCCAAGATGTAATTGGTTGGGTTTGAACCTCCAACCTTTCAGTTAACAATCAAGCACTTAACCATTGTGCCACAGGGCTCCCCAATAGTATAAATGGGGACAGTGGGGGTTCACTGGTAGAATTTGTAGCTTCCAAGTGAGAGACCCAGCTTTGATGCCCAGCCAGTATACTTCCTCGGCAGCCACCACCTGTCAGTGGAGGCCACTACCTGTCAGTGGAAGCCACCACCTGTCCATGGAGGTGTGTGTGTTGTGATGACGTGAACAGGTTTCAACAGAGCTTTCAGACTAACGGAGGAGGGAGAAAGGTCTGGGTTCTGCTTCCAGAAATCAGCTAGCGAAAACTTTATAGGTCACAATGCTCAACCCACAACTGATGATGAAAACGATGTAGGACCAGCATTATTCTGTTCAGTGGTCCACAGGGTCAGCATGACAGTTAGCTACACCAAGAATCATCTACTGCATTATACATAATAATAAAAGTATATTACTACTATTTCTATATATACACAGTATATATACAGAATATTAGAATTTTGAAACACTGAGTCTTTTGCATATAAATATAAAAATAAAATAATCTTTCTCCAGGATACACATTTCAGCTTAGAGAGAAATCAATGATCCCGGTCATTATGTTAAGGAGCCCTAGTGGTGCAATGGTTAAGTGCTTGGCTGCTAACCAAAGGTTGGTTTGTTCTGCAGGAGGAAACTGTGGTAGTCTGCTTCCAGTAAAGATGTATAGCCTTGGAAACCCTATGGGGCAGTTCTGCCGGGTCCTAGTAGGGTCGCTATGAGTTAGAATCAACTGAACAGCGATGGATCTGTGTGGTCAAATGAGACCCTTATGTGGCCTTTTGCTCTGGTTCTTTGGAAAAACAGCTCGAGAGGTTTTTACCCATAAGCTCTGAGGCGTTACCTTTGCCCTAAATTTTCTACACCAGAGGGTTTGTTACATTTGTCTAGGTTGATTGATATTTCCTGGGTAAGCTGTAAATAACTTGGTTTTGATACTTTTTGTCTGGTCCTGGTTTGTAGCCTGCTCATGGTTGGTATTGCACTTTGCAGGGATTGGTCAATATACTATGCAAATGAGGTAACAAACAAAAACCCACTACCATCCAATCAATTCTGACTCATAATGACCCCCATTGGCTGTCCAAGGTGGTAAATCTTTAGGGAAGTAGATTGCCCTACTTTTCTTCCTCAGAGCAGCTGGTGGGTGTAAGCCACCAACCTTCAGGTTAGTAGTCAAACCCCTCAGGCACTGCACCACCAGAGCTCCATATGCAAATGAGGTAACTATAGCCTATGTGCATATGAAGCGTCTGTGGCCTACTGAGAGGGGATTGGTCAGTTTGTGCCCTCTCTCTGGGAGGGGCTATGCCTTGAAAATACAAGGAATTGTGTATATAAGCAGCTAATCCCCACAGAAGCTTTTGAGACGGAAAGAAGCAGGAAGAGAAGCAACAAGAAGTACAAGGAAAAGTAAAGAGACAGAGGAGAGGATATTCCTTAAAAGATCTGTAACAATTTCCTGAAAGGCTGTAACACTGAAGACAGAGACACTGAAGGCAGTGACAGACAGCAGGGCCAACAGGGAGGGCCAACAGGGACCTATGGTAACCTATCCTAAGGGGGCCAATAGGAGCCTGTCCTCAGGGAGCTGAGCAGAAGCCTCCACTGAAGAAGGAAGACTTTGCCCATATGGTTCCTGATCGTGATCCTGAGTTGTCCCTGTTACTTCCTTAATAAACCACTTAACTGTAAGTACAGTCTGTGAGTTCTGCCTGGCCGTTGCAATGGATTACTGAACCCAGAAGAGAAGTGGAGAATGCCGTGGGAGGGACAGCTGGTGTCAGGTTGACAAGTGGAGCTATGTCTGACCTCCATCTCATGGTAATCAGCTTTGGGCTGATCCTGGTCATTATTCCCTCTGAGGTTAGACAGGTTCTGATGCTACCATTACTACTATTAGTCCCGTTTTATAGTTTGGTTTTGGTTTGATCATCATTAACTATCTCCACTGAAGTTGCAAGAGGATTTAAAACATACTAAAACCCAGGATGGCCAGGATGTGAGAAGTACAGTGACTCTTGTTCCCAAATGATCCTCTCTCGGGGCCCCAGGAGTTTCCAGATGACCCATCTGGACATCCTCGTGAGGCCCTCCTCACCTGATAGGCTGGTTGTCTGGACCCACATCTGTAAAGCCCATCTTCCTCAGCCTGTAGCACCGATACTGCTCATAGTGCCTGGTGTGGGTCTGCTCTTTCAAGTCCTCCATGTTGGTACACAGGAGCATGTCCCGGAGCTTAACAAAGTCACAGTGACTTTCATTCTCCACTGGTCAGAGAAACAGAAAAGCAGCAACACTCAACGGTGAATTCCTGGCACTCAGTGAGAATGCATGAATGAAAAAACTCATGAGAGACACGTTTAAAATCATAAAACAGCTAAATGTCCAGTCTGACGAGTAGCTACAATTCTCTTACCATGCAGCTGTGGTTGTACTATGCATCCCCACTAGAGGCAGATTGATTTAAACCCCAAAACTCCATTGCTGCCAAGTCGATTCTAACTCAAAGAGACGCTAAAGGGCAGGGCAGAACTACCCCATACGTTGTAAGGGGTTTCCAAGGTTATGAATCTTTACAGAAGCAGGTCACCACATCTTTTTCCCGCTGGTAGTTCCAACTGCAGACCTTTTGGTTAGCAGGCAAGCACTTAACCAAGGCGGACACTTTGCCCCCAGGACTCCTTAGATTTATCCAAGGGCCAGGAAACGTGCTTTAAATTTATAAGCCAATGAAGAAGTTGTTGTTGTTTGTTGTTGTTATGTGCCGTCAAGTCAGACCCGACTCATAGCGACCCCTCCTTGGGTTTCCGAAGCAGTATCACTACGGAAGCAGATTGCCCAACCTTCCTTCTGGGGAGTGGCTGGTGGGTTTGAATTGCCAGCCTTCTGGTTAGCAGTCAAGTGCCTTAGCCACTATGCTACCAGAGCTCCAATGAAGAAGTAGGAAATAGCAAAATAATTCATTGTATTAGTATACGCTATAGGTTTTCATTAGTATTTTACAAAGTACCCTCAAGCTATTTCACAGAATGCTGACAAAGTCTGTAATAAAATCTCATTAAAGCAAGTTCTACAGATCAATGTCATCTACAAGGGTGGATGCTCTGCTTATTCATGCTATCCGTATAGCACCATCTATGAGACTGCACTGGGCAGTGTTCAGAACCAACCAGGAAATTCCCATGGCCCTCTCCTGGGGTTGCCATGTCCAGAAGACCCAGCACAGTATGTTTGGACCAGGTCATTTGGGTATGGTGCATAAAATGATGTTAAGTTTTAAATATGTTTCACAAATTTAGAATTTTCTAATATGTTAATTTTTAAAACAACAGCACTTAGAAATCAATGTAGGTAAAGAGAATTCATTCCCCAATAATTAGCATCACAAGAATATGAACCAGAGAGTAAATTATGGCCTATTAACAACAGTCCAACTCTTCATAATGCTGATAAATAATATAAATGTTAAGCATGAAACGTCAATTAAGCCAAGAACCAAATCCACTGCCATAGAATCGATTCCAACTCATAGCAACCCTAGAGGACAGAGTACAACTGCCCCATAGGGTTTCCAAGGCTGTCGATCTTTACAGAAGAAGACTGGTCCCATTTCTCCCATGGAATGACTGATAAGTTCCAATTGTCAACCTTTTGGTTAGCATCTGAGCATTTTAACCAGTGCACCATAAAAGCACCTTCAATTATCCTGAATCAAAAGTAAATCATATATCTTTGTTGTAGAAATAGTTGGTCATTCTTTTTTCTCATGATCAGTTAAAACATATTTTATAACTTAGGTAGTAATCAGTGCATGTACCTGACCAATGTACCTGGCACTTAAGCCCGGCTGCCACCTGTCAGTGGAGGCACGTGTGTTTCTCTGATGCTGAGCAGTGCTGCCAGTCTTCAGCAGACCAGGAAGAAAGGCCTGGTGACCAACCAAAAAACCAACCAGTGCAGACCGTACAGGTCCTGTCACGCATGGGGTAACCACAAATTGGGGGCTGACTCGAGGGCTTCTGACAACATGTTTAAGTAGGTTTAACCTTTATGTGGCAGTTTTGTTCAAAGTTCACACAGAGAGAGATCATTTGTGTCTGGCACATTTAGGTAAACCAGGAGGCTCTGCCTGGCTTCTGTGGATCTTGACCTCAAGTATCCAGCAAACTCCTGTGAGAATGAATCCTAGTCAAAGTAAAGTTTAGCTCAAATGAAAACCAAATCTGTGTTCATCAGCAGTAGCTGTTAGGTTTCAGCTGTTGTTGCTGTCATTAGGTGCCGTGGTGCCAGCCTCTGACTCGTGACGACACCACACACAATGGAACAAAACTGCTGTTCAGTTGAGGACTGGACTGTTGTGATCTGTGGGGTTTCGGTTGGTTGATTTCAAGGAGATCATCTGGTCCGTCTTCCTGCTCTGTCTTAGTCTGGAAGCTCTGCTGAAGCCTAACACCACACAGACTTCCACCTCCCCTGAAAGACGGGACACTGGCTGGGAATGTCCCCCATGGAAGGCAAGACAGCTACCACCGAACCAAGACCACCCCCAGTTTACTGCTTAGCAAGAGTGAAAGTTAAATGCCTTCTTTGAGAAGACAAGGTGACATCCATGGCATGTTGACCAGAAGCCTTCTCAAGCCTGCTCACTCTTCATATTTACCTTGTAAAACTCCCCACGGGTACTGCCGGCCTCTGACCATCCTTTTTCCAACTTTCACCTCCTCCATGCTCCCCACCACTGCCAAGGGGAAGTGTTCCTGGAAAGTAACAGAAGTATTAATCAGCTTGCCTCACACCATTACGCTTGCACTAACAGTTAGAAAGACTATCATCAATTCACTCAAACAGGAGCTCGCCCTGCCTCAGATTTTAAGACATAGTGGTCAGTATGAGCTAACTGACCTCTCCAGGCATAGACACAGGGCACACAGGCAACCGACAACTATCTACTGAACAGACCCCAAAGCAAGGCAGCCCGCCACGGGGAGTACAAAGAGGAAAGATTTTCCACACACAAAAAATCTGTACACGAATGTTTGGAGCGCCTTTATCTGTAAAGGCCCCAAACCAGAAGAAACAACCCCGATGTCCTTCAACAAGTGCAAGGTTAAACAGACCATTGGTTTTCCATTCAACAATTTATACACATTTTGATTTGTGACATTGATTTCAGTCCCCACATTGTAATAGCACTCTTCCTACCTCCTCCCTCGGTCTACTGTTCCTATTTGTCCTTTTTTTTTTTTTTTTTTCCTTGAACTGGGAAAATCTGTTTCAAAATCCATTTGTTCTTCTTTCCTGTCCCTTCCTGCCTTCTGTGATTTATCCCTGGGCAATTCATTTAATCCCTGGGTGGTGTATCCATTTTGTGGAATATTCAAAAAAAAAAAAAAAAAAAGCCCACTGCTGTGGAGTCGGATCTGACTCATGGCAACCCCTCCTTGGGTTTCCGAGGCGGTATCACTACGGAAGTAGATTGCCCAACCTTCCTTACGAGGAGTGGTTAGCAGTCAGATGCCTTAGGCACCACGCCACCAGAGCTCCTTCATGGAATACGACTCAGCAATAAAAAGATGCCAACAATCATTACACGTACCCACTGGATGAGTCTGCAGTGCAACCTGCTGAGTGAAAAGGGCAACCCTGTGACAAAGTTATGGAAATGGAGAATGAAGTAGTGGTTGCTAGGGGTTCAGGAGGCGGAGGGGGAGGTAGGAAGTACAGCATGAGCGGTCCTGTGGTGACAGAAATGTTCTGTATCTTGACTGTATCAGTGTCAACCTCCTGATATTATGTGATGTTATATATTGAAATTTACAGTAGTTTTGTAAGACATTACTACAGGGAGACACTGGGTCAGAACGTAGGTCGCTCTCTATTATTTTTACAACTGCATGTGAGTCTGCAATTGTCTCAAGATTAAAAGATGAGTTTTTTAAAATGTCACTTGAACACTTAGTATGTACAAGAATTACAGTTCCAACTGAGACACTGGGTAAGAGGGAGCCAGCTTGAATCCCCAGCTAGAAAGATCTTAACTAAAAGGATTTTAGGATGCTAATGTCTTCCACAGGAACTCTGGTAGCATAGTGCCTAAGGCACTTGACTGCTAACCAGAAGGCTGGCGGTTCAAACCCGCCAGCCACTCCTCGGAAGGAAGGTTGGGCAATCTACTTCCGCAGTGATACTGCCTCGAAAACCCAAGGAGGGGTTGCTATGAGTCGGGTCTGACTCGACGGCACACAACAACAACGGGAGCCTGTCAAGTCTCCCATTTTTAAAGTAAAAGAATAAAAACACATATTTCTAAAGCAGTTAAAAGCAAAGTCCCACTTAAAGTGTATTCAAAGCTCATTAATGTGCCATTTGATTTGCAGAACAGGAGGGAAGAAAAAAAGATACTTTTCAGAAGCAATTCTCAGCAGACATTTTTCAAAATCAAGGACATAAAACATTTTCCCACACTGGACTTTGAAAAAACATTAGCCTGTTTATAGTCTGCTCATCAGAAACTGTTACTTATAAACTGTATTTCTGTTTGCACACGAGACTGGATCCCTGTTGGACAGAACATACAGGTATTTACATTCATTGAGGAGTTCATCTGAGCAATGGTTTCATCATCGACGGGGCACTGGTAGATCTGGATGCTGTTTTCAGCCAACTCATTCATTATCTTCGCCTTAAACTTCTGCAAATCATTTTTCGAAATTGTATCTGCTTTGGCAATCAGTGGTACAATATTCACCTATTAAGAAAGAAGACAGACACAATCTCATCCTTGAGAATTTGCTGTTAATCGATAGCTCTTGCAGTCAAAGCCTTACCATCTCTGACAATAAGGTTTCGTAACCCTATGGGGGCAGATTCCAGCCTCACATAAATGTTTGGGGCTTTATTTCTGAAAAAGGTGGGACAAGATATCCTCCAATGATGGTAAGACATTAACACATAAGAATCGGAAAATTTCCATGCAAACACCTCCTAGTCATTAATCATTTTAAAAGAAACAACAGCAACAACAACAACAAACCTGAATTAATTTCGGATAACCAGTTGCCATGGAAAAGAGCTCTGGTGGCACAATGCCTAAGCCATTTGACTGCTAACCAGAAGGTTGGTGGTTCAAACCCACCAGCCACTCTGTGGAAGGAAAATGAAGCAATCTGCTTTTGTAAAGATTTACCACCTTAGAAACCCAATGGGGGTCGCTATGAGTCAGAATCAACTCGATGGCAGTGAGTTTGGTGTTTGTTTTGGAGTTGCCATGGAGTCATCTTCAACTGATGGCACCCCCATGGGTGTCAGAGTAGAGCTGGGCTCCAGAGGGTTCTTAGTGGCTGATTTTTCAGAAGTAGACCCCAAGGCCTTTCTTCTAAGATGTCTCTGGGTGGACTTGAATTCCCAACCTTTTGGTTAGCATGTTAACCATTTTGCATCACCAGGGAGATAGCCCAAGTTCACATATGTAACATATGTACAGGCACCCCTCAGAAGTCCAGACCACCACAATAAAGTGATATCACAATAAAGTGACTCACACAGATTTTGGTTTCCCAGTGCACAAAAAGTTATGTTTACCCTATATTGGTGGTAGAGTAATGCATTTGGATGCAAACCAGAAGGTCAGTGGTTCAAACCGACCAGCTGCTCCATAGGATGAAGATGAAGAAATCGACTTCTGTAAATATTTACAGGCTTGGAAACTCAATGGGGGTTGCTATGAGTTGAATTGACTCAATGACAATGGATTAGGTTTCTTTTTTTTTTTCATAGTCATGATGAAAAAGTTTGAAATATTGTGAGAATGACCAAAATATGACACAAAGACACAAAGAGAGCACATGCTGCTGGAGAAATGTCACCCTGAGACTTGCTCAGTACAGGGTTGCCACAAAGCTTCAATCTGTAAAAATCGTAGCATCTGTGAAGAGCAATAAAGCAAGTGCTATAAAATGAAATATCCCTGTATGAACACACACATATTGATATATATATGTTTTGATTAAAAAAATCCAGAAATTCAAAAACAGGGTTTCTTATTAAAATGAACACACATTTTTTAAAATTATTACTGAATATTTGATCTTAACTGTATCCTTTTACATAGTATTACATATAGTGAATTCAATTTCAAAAATATGGGCAAATAACTATTATCTGAGACACCATTTAATCACAGGAGAAAATGAATTAAAATTTTGTTAATGTTTTTTTACATAAATCTCATTTTCCAAACAGATATCATTTTAAATTAAATTTCTCTGGAAAATAAGCTAAAGTTGAAATGTATCAAAATGCATTAAAGATGAACAGAAAAAAATAACAATATATGCACGCATTAAAAAATAACAGATACTTGCAATGAAAAGATCTTCTAGATATATTATTGTCTCAAAATAAATATTGAATCTTTAAAGGGTAATGGATTTACAAAACATACCTTACTGTCAATCTTCTTCATGGTTAACAGATCCAGTGACTTTAAAGAATGTCCAGTCGGTGAAATGAAGTAGAGGCACACATGGATACGAGAGTCATGGTAATTAAAATAAGAACGTTTAATCTTCAGTTCTTCTTGGAGATAGGCCTCAAACTGGGCATCTATGTAGTCAACTATTGGTTTGTAACTGAAAAAGATGATTATTTGCATATTTAGCATAACACATTAATCAAATCTGAAGCCTGTATTTTCATCATGTAATTACCACTTAATATCTATGCTAAACATTTTTCCATAGTTGTAAAATACAATGTATATAATATTTGCATACAAATAGTAACCCAAAATCAACCATGAGACCTCTGTGATTTACATTGTGTATGTTGTTGTTAGCTGCCATTGAATTGACTTTGACTCATGATGACACCATGTATGATAGAACTAAACGTCACATGGTTCTTTGCCATCTTCATGATTATTGTGAAATTTGAGTCCATTGTTGCCGCCATTGTGTTGATCCACAACAGGGTTTCCCTTGTTCTTCTTGAGCCTCTATTTTACCAAATATGTTCTTTTCTAGAGATTGGTCTTTCCTGATGACGGGTCCAAAGTCAGCAAGCTGAAGTCTCTCCATCCTCACTTTTAAGAAGCATTCCCATTGTGTTTCTTCTAAGACTGATGTGTTAGCTCTTCTGGCAGGTCACAATATAGCCAGTATTCTTCGCCAACATCACGATTCAAATCCGTTTCTTCTGTCTTCCTTTTTCACTGGCCAGCTCTCAATCAGCAGCAAATGAAGGTCCTGGAGGCTTTACTCCTTCAGGTCATCAAAGTTGAGTCTACTTCGAGAAGAAGCAGCTCTTTCTCGGTCGTATGCTGAGTGCCTTCCAACCTAAGGGGCTTATCTACTAACACTATATTGGACAATGTCCTGTTGTGATTTGTAACATTTTCATTGGCTGAGTTTTGGAAGTAGATCACCTTCTTCCTAGAAGCGCCATTGAAACTTGTATACCATGGGTGACCCTGCTGGTATTTTAAATACCAATTGCATAACTTCCATCAATACACAAGCCACCACTGCCATATGAAAAAGTGCCCTATGACTGACAAATTGTGGTCATGCTCTGTAAATATTTCAAATCTTCTCTATGCCTTTTGAATCTCTGTTGTACATGGGGTCACTATGGGTTGGAACCAACTCAACAACAGCTAAGAACAACAACATCCTCACCTTTTTCCTTGCTTTCCTAATAAGCAGATGAATAACATAATTTGAGAAATTAGTTTATCACAATGATATCTACAAATATTCCTGCGTTCATGAGAAGGCTGGTGGTTCAAACCCACCAGCCACTCCTTGGAAGGAAGGTTGGACAATCTACTTCCATAGTGATACTGCCTCGGAAACCCAAGGAGACGTCGCTATGAGTTGGGTCCAACTGGACGGCACATAACAACAACTGTTAATTTGAAGAGTCATCTCTATCCTCAGTTAAGACCAATGTCTCCAATTCACCCCCTTGCTCTCCTGTTCTTTGGGAAATATATTATTGATTATAAATTAAATATCTTTTACCAGCAACCTTTCCCTCTCGCCACAATTCAACTCTTCATCATTTAAACTCGTTATATCTCTTCTGAAGAGCTCTGGTTCCATAGTGGTTAATGCATTTGTCTGCTAACCAAAAGGTTGGCAACTGGAACCCACCAGCCACTCAGCAGGAGAAAGATAAGGCAGTCTGCTTCTGTAAAGATTTACAACCTTGGAAACCCTCTGGGGCAGTTCTAATCTGTCCTCTAGGGGCACTCTCAGTTGGAATCAAGTCCAAGGCAGTGGGTATGGTTTGAGCTTTGCTTCCATAAAGATTTACAGCCTTGGAAACTCTTTGGAGCAGTTCTACTATGCCCTCTAGGGGCATTCTGAGTCGGAATAGACTTGATGGGAGTGAGTGTATGTCTCTTTCATCTTGAAACAGAATCCTCCTACTCTCTTGTTGCTTCCTTCACAAGTGCAATTACCATGTTCTGAACCATGTATTGGGAACAACCTCAATAAAAGTCCTCATCATAGCAGGGAGGATCTATGGGAACAACCTCAATAAAAGTCCCCGTCATAGCAGGGGGGAACTATGGGAACAACCTGAAATATAAACAGAAAGCACATTAACAAACTTGCTATAGTTAATTCTTCAACATTTTGTAAGTCTACCAGACAGCTGGATACCAAAGTGTCAGTCTCGTAATCAGAAGAGAATATTACGCAAGAAAAACAGAATACTAGGAGATAATTACAACTAAGTCCATGAATAAAGAAGGCAACTTCTCTGAAATAGCAAAAGCTTATTTAGTTAAAATAAGAAAATACTAACCTGGCTTCTTTGTTTATTTGATCACCATATCCCACTGTTTTCACGACAGTTAATTTCAACTGAACATTAGTTTCCTGGAGCTCATAGGTGTGAATTTTAAGTCCAACATGTGAGTAAAAATGCGAGGATTTTTGTTCTTTAAAATTAGTATTAAACAATGTGTCTATCAGTGTTGATTTTCCAATTCCAGTTTCCCCTGTAATAGACACATCATCATAAAGACATTTGTTGGCTGAGAAGAAACAACTGTCTGAACTCTTAAACTGATTTAAAGGGTCCCAAATACTTCTAACATCAGGGTGTCCTTAAAAGTACCCATGCCTAGATTGGCTCCCTCCGTCATTAGCATAATGTAGAATGGGAAAAAATATATACAGGCATATACCTCAGAAATACCCTGGGTTCAGTTCCATACCCACAATACAGTGAGTATTGCATTCAAACAAGTCACATAAAATTTTTGGTTTTCTGGTGCAGATGAAGGTTTTGTTGACACCATACTGTAGTCTATGAAGTATGCAATAACAGGATGAAAAAGTCTGAAATATTGTGAGAATGACCAAAATGTGACAGAGAGACACAGAGTGAGCACATGCTATTGGAAAAATAACACCAACAGACTCATTCGACGCAGGGCTGCCACAAACCTTCCATTTGTGAAAAGTGCACTGTCTGTGAAGCACAATAAAGCGAGGTATGCCTGCATATAAACTATGTCAAAATTTTGAAGAGCAGTGAAGAAGAAACTGTTTAAGGAATATGGCTAAGAAGGTCGAAACAGACATACAGACACAGTCTCAAATGGATAGCACCATTACTGTGTTGCTTAAGACCCGGTGAAAAGGACGTTGGGGCAGATGAAACAGTAATCCAGATGAGGCTGGCACTTACCCACACAGAGAATATTAAAAGTGAATCCTTGTTGAATAGATCTGTTCACCAACTGATGGGGCAAACATTCAAAGCCAAAATGGTCAAGCAGAGGTAAGCAACGGATATTTTCTTCTTTGGGCTGAAAGAAAAGACAATAAACTGTTTTTAATTAGAATAGGGAATGAACATATTTGAACAGACAATGATTTACCAAACTAATCAAAAGTTGATTATTATTTGATTATCATACCACAGACAAGAAGCAAATGGATTAAGGAAACTGGTGAGAAAGAAGTCTTCCATCTTGAAACAGAATCCTCACAGACCTCACAGAGACATTTCTTACTCTCTTCATACATGCAAATCCAATCACACCCATAGCTTTGGCTATTATATTATAGACAAAGTCATCGATTTCTGATCATACCCAGAGATTATGTTTCTAAATTTAAAAAGAAATAGGGAATTAAGGAAGCACAAGCAAGTTCCAGTGTGGTGATGGTGGCATCAGGCACCGTAGAGTCAGTTCTGACTGACGGGACCCCGTGTGTAGTGGAAACGCTGCTTGGTCCTGCACCATCCTCACAACCATTGCTACGTTGGAGCCCATTGTTGCAGCTACTGTTTCAGTCCATCTTGTGGCCCTTCCTCTTTTTTGCTGACCCATTGCTTTACCAAGGATGATATCCTTCCCCAAAATTAGTCCTTCCTTAGAGTATGTCCAAAGTAAGTGAGATGAAGTCTCACCATTCTCCCCTCTAAGGAGCATTCTGGCTGTACTGCTTCCAAGACAGATATATTCATTTTTCTGGAAGTCTATAGTATATTCAGTATTCTTTGGCAACACCATAATTCAAAGGCATCAGTTCTTCTTTGGTCTTCCTAATTCATTGTCCAGCTTTCACACACATATGAAGTGTTGGAAAATACCAGGCTTGGGTCAGGCTCACTTTAGTCCTCAAGAGACTAATCCCTTTTTAACATTTTAAAGAAGTCTTGTGCTGCAGATTTTCCCAATGTAATAAATATGTTTGATTTTTTTTGCTTCTGTGGGTATTGACTGTGTATGCAAGTAAAAGAAAATTTATCACTCTAAAGTATTAAAGCAGGAGGTCTGGTAGCGTAGTGCCAAAGCACTTGACTGCTAACCTGAAGGCTGGTGGTTCAAACCCACCAGCCACTCCTCGGAAGGAAGGTTGGGCAATCTACTTCCGTAGACATACTACCTCGGAAACCGAAGGAGGAGTCACTATGAGTCGGGTTCGACTTGATGGCACATAACAACAACAAAGTATTAAATCATTTTTCCACAGTAAAAAAAAAAGAAAGAAATATTAAGGAAACACAGCATACGTTAATGTATGTGAGGAAACCAAAGTCAATTTCAGGCACATAAATGAATAAAAAACTTTGACTTCAAGTCTTTATATGCCCTCTAAGAACATGTATTAAGTCAAATTGTTAAAGGAATCTGCTGCAAATAACACCATCCTAGAAATTAGAAATGAATTAATATTAAAAAGTTGTTGTTGTCATTGTTAGGTAGCATTGAGTTGATTTCAACTCTTAGTGACCCCCTGTGACAGAGTAGAACAGCCCCATGGCATTTTCTGGGCTGTAATTTTCAGAGAAGTAACTTATCAGGTCTTTCTCCTGTGGAGCCAGTGTGTGGGTTTGAACCAATAATGTTTCAGTTAGCGGCCAAGCATTTTACCATTGCATCTCCAGGGCTCATCTAGAAAAAGTTAGCAATTTTTTTAAAAAATATTTGTGAAAGCTGGGCAATGAATAAGGAAGACTGAAGAATAATTGATGCCTTTGGATTATGGTGTTGGCAAAGAATATTGAATATACTATGGACTGCCCCAAAAATGAACAACTCTGTCTTAGAAGAAGTACAGCCAGAATGCTCCTTAGATTTCATCTGACATACTTTGGACATATTCTCAGGAGGGGCCAGTCCCAGGAGAAGGACATCGTGCTTGGTGAAGTAGAGAGAGAGTGAAAAATGGGGAAGATCCTCAACAAAGTGGATTGACACAGTGACTGCAACGGTGGGGTCAAGTGTAACAATGACTATGAGGATGGGGCAGGAGCAAGCAGTGTTCTGTTGTACAAAGGTGGGAAAAGCAGTTTAAAGGAGGCTTAACAACCTGTGTTCATCATTCACAGAAGTCTCCTCAAACAACTAGAAAACTCCACAAAAGCTTTTTTATTTTTTACAGAAAAAATGTTTACTATCACGTTCTATTTAGCATCCAAACATAAGACTACATGAAATAGAATATCCAAATAAATGATGACATATTTATTCACATAGTGGAGTATTATTAAGTCATTAGATACTTTTGGTGAACACCTTAATAAATTGGAAAATAGTTATATTAAATATTAAGGTCGAGTTAGGGACTGTGTGCTTTGGGCAGTAAGGAATCCCCCATATAAAGAGAAAGATTTAAATCAGGGTGCCAAGGAAGGGAAGATTGGGAAGATAAGAACCCCAACAGCAGAGAGATTTGAATATGAGACTGAGGGATATAGGTTTTATCTAAATGGTCGAAGGACTGACTGGAGTCTTTGAGCCAGGAAACAGTGGAAGAGAGAAGTGTTTCAGAAGATGAATATGGCATTGGAATGAAAAATGGCCTGGAGTAAGAACCAGAGTCAGAAGAGGAACTGTGGAACCACTGCCCTCAAAAAACAAGTAGCAGCACAGTTACAAGGGATTCGGTTGTTGTTGTTGTTGTTATGTGCCGTCGAGTCAAACCCGACTCATAGCGACCCCTCCTTGGGCTTCCGAGGCAGTATCACTA